CTCCGCCGCTCATCCATCCCCTGTCATTGTCTTTTTCGCGAAATCACGACGATCATTCCGCGTTTGTGGTTTATTGATTTATTTTTCTCTTCACAATTAGGACTCGAAGCAGTCGCTATCTCGAACGATCCGAAACGTCGTCTAGGATCTGCCAATATTGCGCACAATTGCCGTGATAAAATCTTTCCTTACCTTTCCCTTACCTTTCACCGTGCCCTCCGCGCGATCAGTTGCAGGAATACATTAATTTCCTTTCATGTCCTCTCCATCCGAATTTCATCTTCTATTCACGTTTCACTCTTTTACTTTCAGTCGGAGTTAAAAATTTTTAAGTTTTCTAACAGAATAACGATAAAAAGAAGTTACGTGTATTTCTATGGGAGGAAATCAAAATGAATCGCCGTCATGATATCCTCGCGCGATCGTTAGACTTTGAGAAAGATTCCAAGTCCCGAAATCTATGCGGTAGTCGACCCGTCGACAGCTACTCGAGCCAACGTCGGTGAACGCGTGTATAGCGCTTGGGGCATGGAAAACCGCGAGAAAATTTAGGAACGACGTTTCCGTCGCCGATTATACACAGCCGTTACAGTCGAGCCGCGAGAAGTCGATTTACGCACGCGGCGAAATGCACCGGGCGCGCCGGCGAAATGCTATGTGCGCTTCCATTCTCGTGCACGTGGCCACTGCTGGCTGCCTGCGTGCGTGCATGCGTGCGTGCGTGCGTGCGTGCGTGCGTGGCGCGCACGTAAACGTCGTGTCGTAGTGCCGCTGCATGCCGGGCGTAGGTGTGCGGTGTAAAAGCAGCCCACGCGTGATATATTATGCAGTCTCGCTAAGTGGAGCCCGGAGATGCCGAGCACAACAGGCAGGGAGGGAGGGAGGGAGGGAAAGAGAGAAAGATAGAGGAAGGGGATAACATGAGAAACGAGCGACTCGACGTCACACGTTGAACGAATGCATGTGAAAGAGAGAAAGAGAGAGAAAAAGGAGAAAGAGAGAGAGAGAGAGAGAGAGTAAAAGGGGACAGGAAGGAGGCGAGCGAAAGCGCAGAAAGGAGAGGGTGAGGTTACTCAAACGAGCGGCTGTATTAAGTGCGCCTATAGATTACGGCGCCGGAAAAAGTAGAGGCGCATCGCGCTAAAACGCTTCGAAAAAAAAATTACCCTATGGACCCCATACGTCATCCTCGCGAGCACTGTCTCCCTCTCTCTCTCTCTCTCTCTCTCTCTCTCTCTCTCTCTCTCTCTCTCT